CCCCAAAACCCCAAAACCCCGTGAATATTATGCAGCCATTGGAATAAGTGCAGTTAATATTTTGATATCAACAACTCTAATAAGAAGTATTTTCAAATATATCTTCATTTCTTTATTAAGATATCAATTCTAAAAATATCTCATAAACGTTGCTAACCCTCTCACATAACTATTGTTCCTGCATTTGGATAGGAAGCGGCAATAGCTTTATGAGGCAAGATCATAGTTCCATTAAGGAAAGTCTCGTCTTTTAGCTATACATCTTCAGCTGTTACTGTCAAACCTTATATTCTTGACCACTTTCCAATTGTATTCTACCAACCAATAATTGAGCCTTAAATAAGACTGTACCCATGAACTACAGTCCTAGCTAGAATAGTTGAGTCGTAAATTCTAGTTCCTGCCCCAATAACACAGTCAGCACCTATAACTACATTAGGTCCTAGTTAAGCAGTTGGGTCTACTTATGCAGAAGGGTGGATCATAACATCGCCAACAATTAGGGAGCCTTTAGCCAATACACCCGTTTCTCTATCTCTCTAAGATTGTAAGAAGAGTTTCTACCCAATCAAATAATCTTTTGGTTGTCCGATATCCATCCAGTAGCCATTAAGAGTCATTTGATAAAGCTCACCCTCACTAGCCATCTATGGGAAGACTTCTCTCTCAATTGAGGTAGGTCTTAATTCAATTCTATCGATCACTGACACGTTCAAAAGATAGAGACCTGCGTTGATTTTATTGCCTACAAAAACAAGAGGCTTTTCTACGAACCTGTCAATTTTTCCATCCTCTTAGTGGACTATAACCCCATATTTTGATGGGTCTTCGACCACTGTTGTCAAAATTGTGCCTTCTTTTCCGTGCTGTTTGTGGAACTCAATGAATTTGTCTAATGGATAATCACAGATAACATCAGAGTTGAATACAAAGAACATTCCTGATTCATTATCCTTTAAGATCATCTCTTTTGCAAGTCTCAGTGGGCCAGCGGTACCTAATGGTTCGTTCTCAATTGAAATTATGATCTTAACGTTATAGATGTCTTCAAAACCCTTTAAAGAAGCCATTAGTTCAGGAGGTTGATTGTTAACAGCTAAGATGATCTCCTTCACACCAGCCTCTGCAAGAGCATGAATCTAATGGGCGAGAATTGGTTTGTCTCCAAAGTCTACTAATGGTTTAGGAACAGTCAGGGTCAAAGGTCTAAGTCTAGTTCCATAGCCTCCGATCAATATTAAAGCCTTCATCTCTAAGTTATATGTAAACTTTATTTATGTATGCTCTGAATGAGAGTAATTAAATTATATCTTTAAAATCCTTAACTTCATTAATACATTCTGACAAGATATCTATTACTCTCGGGGTTTTGGGGTTTTGGGGTTTTGGGG